ATGATACACATGGCTCTATCTATCGCCACCGGCCTTGCTCACTTACACATGGATATAATGGGTACCCAAGGAAAACCCGCGATCGCACACAGAGATCTTAAATCGAAGAATATCCTTGTTAAATCGAATGGTACCTGCGCTATAGGCGACTTAGGTCTAGCAGTACGTCACGATGTTATTACTGATACCGTCGATATTCCTCTTAATAATCGTGTTGGAACTAAGAGATATATGGCTCCAGAGGTATTAGATGAAACGATGAACATCGACCAGTTTGATTCATTCAAAAGGGCGGACGTCTATGCCTTGGGATTAATATTTTGGGAAATTGCTCGGAGGTGTAATGTAGGTGGTATTTATGATGAATATCAATTACCTTTTTATGATGCGGTTCCTCCTGATCCTACTATTGAAGAAATGAGAAGGTTAGTGTACACATTTTTAGTAACATTCTTTTTTATATAGGTATGTATTTATTTTATACCATTTAATAGATAAATATAGAGTGATAAACTAAAAATGTAAGTAGCCCTTTGAAAAAATTACTCATGTAATTACTAATTTATTAAATTTTGTCTCTTTTTGTTTTTTATATGGTCGGATTTTGTAGGTACTGGAGTATTAACATATAGTAGTTCTATTATACTTTTCGTCTATTCTTTAAATATATTTGTTATGTGATATTTTTTTATTTTCATGGTTTTACCTCAGTATAACAATCTCTCTTACGTGACAAAAATATTTCGTATTTTACTAGCACAAATGAGCGTGTCGGCGTTAAATTTAAAGCACAAAAACATGAAGATCAGTGGGAACAATTGCCGTAAATTTTAAAGAATCTAAACCAAACATTTTCCTTATAATAAATATTATATTAAGTATACTAATCAGATTTAATTAAAAAAAAAAACGTGTAGCACCAGTTGAATTTAAAATATTTTTAAAATATATTTTATTATCTTTTTAATTTGTTTCAAAATGTTTCAGAGTGGTGTGTGTGGATAGACAGAGACCAAATATACCAAACCGTTGGCAGAGTTGCGAAGCACTTCATGTGATGACAAAATTAATGAAAGAATGTTGGTATCAAAATGCCACCGCAAGACTTACCGCTCTCAGGATCAAAAAGACTCTTTCTAGTTTCAGAGCCTCTGAAGAATTAAAGATGTAGTGTACACGGGTAATTTTTTATTATTTTTATAAATAGTTACTTTTCTTTGAAATCAATTCATCTGAAATTTAATTGTTTTATTGCTTTGTCGCGATTTTGTTCTTTGATAATCATTAGATACAAATAATTAATACTTGTGAATAAGAAATAATGTCCTAATAATTAGTTGCGTGCAAATGGAATTGCAAAAATATATGCTGTTGGTACATTTTTGAATCTGACAGTGTTAAATATTCTAGCCAAGCCCGACATAAAACAGTGTGAACATAAAAAAGTAAATCCAAAAATTTCAACTAACTAAATATCCGCGATTCCTTATGATTATCAAAAAAAAAAAATATTGTTTAATCTAAATTTTAAACTTATACAATTATTTTCTGTCTATTGTGTATTTATGAGTTTGATTAATGTATAGAAAACTTAATTATGACCGCTGTTAGTGGCAAAGAAATAATTGTCACTTGTCAAACTTATAATTTATGAGATTTCCTTATAAAACATTGAATCGACTAAGAAATGTGATTAACTTTCAACAAATAAATATAATATGCCTCGATAATTGATCATACTTTTTAAATTAACAAAGTTCTTGTTCATTAAATAATACACATAAAATTTTATGTATATTTATTTGTCTATACTGAAATATTTTGTTAACAGGAAAATTTATATTACGAGCTGAAAGATCTGTGGTAGTTTTAGGTATAAAAAATTACAACTTAACGATGGAGCCTAAATACTATAAAATTACCATCGGATACAAATACAATTGCATGTAGATACGAGGGATACATATTCTAAACTCTAACGCGCGAAGTTGAGACAAAAGAACCGAAAATAGGTTTGTCCGATAATACTCTTCTTCGAAGATGTCCAGTTCGAAAACACTATTTTTTAAAAAAATGTAGTTTTTATATTTTATCGAAAAAGCACCCTAATTTTCAATCGAAAATTCTCACGTCAAAATATCTGCTTTTTTTAAAAAAGTCGGTGCGCTTTTTGTGCGTTGAAATCTCTACTTTCTGAAGGAGTAAAAAATATATACATTACTATGGTAAATGTCCTCAGAAAATGCAAAGAAACGAAAAAAATTCGGATCCGAAATTTTTTTTTTAATCATTATGTACAATTTTGAGCTATTTATTAAATTTTACACTTTAATTATTTAGAAAACGTAGGATTGCATGTTACATTGATAAACAAAAAAAATTATAAATCCATAAAACATAAAGATTGCAAAAAACATGCAAAAATAGTTGTTCTAAATATTAAAGATAGGAATTAAAGGGTAGTTCATCTAAAAAATGTGACTGCTGCAATTTTTTTTTCAGTAAAAATGGACGCGATACATTGGCGTACAAAATTATTTTATAGATGTTAATAACAATTTCGAGTAAATAGTTTTAACAAATTGTGAATAGCTGTTAAAATTTTGTAGAATTATGATTTGGATATTATAATACATATAATAATTGAAGCGTTTATTTGAAAAACAATACACGCCAAAAAATAAACTGTTTGGGAAATCAAGAAAAACTGCTTACCTTCTTACAGTTTAAGTATGCATTTTTGTAACGATGCTTTTTGAAAATAATGTTTAAGCCAGAAGCATATTCTAATATTTATTTTAGTTGAAAATACAAAACATACGAAAAATTTAAAAAAAATTATGAATATTGGAAAAGTAACCCATGTCCTTTATTTCCCACTGCTACTGTTAGCGTCACTAATGATTTCAATATCTAAAGATTTTTTCCCTCTATCTATTTGTGGGTTCAGGTTAAGGTAAAATACTTTATTAAGAGGATTTTTAAGATATTTAGTGAGTTCCATTAAGTCTCGAAACTTTACATTGCTTATTTGAGGTTTGGTATTAGAGCTATTTCTTGTGAGTTTCTTTTCCCTACAATGGTATGAAACGTCCAAGGACCATGATAACTTTGACGTACTAGAGCTTGATCCGAATACAACTGGTGTTTTTAAAGTGTTGGAAGTTTGAAATGTATGTACATATTATTTTTCTATGAGAATAACTGATAAGCCAAAATTTTAATCAAATGGACATGTGTTGTTTTTTAAATAAACACTTTAATTATTTATAGTCCATAAATACATGCGATTGTCCGGTTCCACCGGCAACAATGTAAAATTACATATTCTATGAAACGGCACTGGCAGGTAAACATAACTGCGAAATTTTCGAAGCCATTCGACGTGGTTTGACGTTTACCCCTCTCTACCTACCAAAACCTTTTCCAATTTCTGCCCCTGCTGTTAAATCGTACGATTGAACTTAGATACTTTATACCAGTGGTCACCAACCTGTCGAGAGGCAATTCTGGTAGCTCTCACAACGATTTTAATTTAAAAAATACAAACTGCAAAAATCAGAGAAGCTTCCGAAAATTCCACAAAAAAATCTAATTGTCATAATATTAAACATAAACGGCGGCAACGTTGCGGTGAGCGATCTGCCGCTGACGCCATCAAGCTAGAATCGGCTAGAACCGACCAGCGCGTTAGTGTTCGAGAACGATCAGGATTGCTTTGAACGGGATAAATACGCACGGCGCGGCGACATTGCGCTTAGTTTAAAACTGAACGCGTAACCAACGTCCAGCGGTTGGGTTAGTAGAGAACAACAAAAAATAATATTATAGCAAGCAGTTGTAAGAAGGTAAAGACATACCACTTTCATTCGGAATGGGAAGAACAATACTTTTTTACAGAAGTTAAAGATAAAAATGTGTGTTTGTTATGTAATACTTCGGTCTCCGTTGCTAAAAAAGGAAATATTGAGAGACATCATAAAACTGTACATTCTAATTTTGAAAAATCATTCCCACTACATTCTGCCGCCAGAAAGGAGAAACTGAAACAGTTAAAAAAGCAGTTAATTGGACAACATTCAATATTTTTGAGAACAGTCGACAAAAATAAGGCTGCAACTGAAGCATCGTACCGTGTGTCCCAGATAATTGCACAAAAAAAGAAACCTTATGAAGACGGGGAAATGATAAAACAGGCGTTTTTAGAAGCTGCTGATTCGTTATTTGCCAACTTTAGAAATAAAGGCGAGATAGTTTCAGCTATAAAATCTATGCAACTTTCTGCTAATATAGTGATGAGATGTGTAGAAGTAATGAGCAATGATATTTGTATACAGTTAAGAACTGACTTAGATAACTGTGTTTATTTTTCACTTCAACTGGATGAAAAACAGATGTCGTTGACACTGCCCAGATGGGCGTGTTCGTCAGGATGGTTTTTAGTGATTTTACGATTAAAGAAGATCTTTTGAAGTTTATTCCACTGAAAGGACACACTGGACTGGACAGGACAGGAGTTGTTTTCTCATTTAAAAAATATTATTTCTTCCGAGAAAATTCCAATATCGAAAATGGTAGGCTTGACAACCGATGGCGCTCCAGCAATGGTGGGTTGTGATAAGGGTCTGGTGACGTTATGTCGTAAAGATGAAACTTTTTCGCAATTTCTCTGTTACCACTGCATTATCCATCAGCAAGCATTATGTGGAAATTTTCTGAAACTAAACAACGATATGAAACTGGTGGTAAAAATTGTGAACAAAATTAGAGCTCAAGCGTTACAAAGAAGATTATTCAAAACCTTGGCCGATGAAGTTGACTGTCAATACGGGGACCTACTCCTTCACTCTGAAGTCCGATGGTTAAGTAGAGGACGGGTGCTGAAACGTTTTAATGATGTCCTATCTGGCATAGTTCAATTTTTCAAACAACACGATGATCCGACTTCGGAACTAGAAAATTCAATCTGGCTTAGAGATTTTGGTTTTCTCGTGGAAATTACAGAGAAATTAAACGAACTTAATTTGCAGCTTCACGGGAGAGACAAAGAACTAGCGGAAATGATTTCTGATATAAAAGCATTTATCAAAAAGCTGGAGTTTTGGGAACAAAACCTAATTAACAGCGATGCTAAGCATTTTCCTATTCTTTCAGAAAAAATCTCAAAATCCATTAGAACCCTATGACGGCAAATATCATCTAGAAATAGTTTCTACCCTGAAGAATAACTTCAAAAATCGTTTTAAGGATTTCAACGAAATGGCTTTAGTAGCGCAGTTTGTTGTTTCACCCTTTATGGAAATTGATATCCAACAGTTTGCAACTTGTGTAATGCAGAACTTTGGCGAAGACATCGCTGCAACAGAAATGGAAGTAATTGAGTTTCAAAATAACTTAGCATTAAAATCGTTAGTCTCAAGTACCAAATGTATCTGGCCTATTGTAAGTAAAGACAAATATTCAGTTCTATTGAAAGTGGAAGCATTATTCAGTTCAACCTATTTGTGTGAATCTTCTTTTTCCAATATGAAGTTTATTAAGAACAAATATTGCAATCGACTTACAGATGAACATTTGGATAATTGTATTCGAATGGCTGTATAAAATTATACTGCAAACATTAAAAAAATTATCGATGAGTCTGAGTGTCAGCCTTCTCATTGAACGTGCTTTTTTATTTTTCAATGTTTATGTTCATGATAGTGCGTTACTTTTTTGTTGTTATTATTAACTATTTTTAAATCTTACGTGACATGCCGTTGTGGCTGGATAAAAGTTTGTGTTTATTTTTCAAACACCTTCGTTTGGTAGGTAGGAATGTAGCTATGAACAAGTACGTATTAGTAATATTAGTTATTTTGTTATTAGTTTATTATTAGTACCTATGTGTTATGTATTACCAGTTAAATAGTAAAATAAATACATATAATGATAAATTAACTGTGGATTATTTCATTTACGTTGCGTTACGTGGCTTCCGTGTGGGTAGCTCGCTGTTTATTCCAAAATTAACAAAATAGCTCAACACATTGAGAGGTTGGCGACCACTGCTTTATACTGATTACGCTATTCATTATATTTTTAATACATTAACTAACTTTGTTATTTATAAATACCTCATCTTGAATTACTTATCCATTAGTTTTTGTTTCTTTGATGACATTTCTTCATCGTTAGATTTGACAAACCTTCCCGATTCTAGTAGATCTTCGAAAACTTCAAGACCATCACCGTCTTCGTCTCCAATACTATTTTCATTTTGCATTGGTTCTTCATCCACAATAATAATAATATATTTATTGCTTCTAAAAACAGATTGTTCTACAGCAAGTGTTTCACATACATTTTGTGCATTACAGTTATAATTCTAGAACTAACACTCAAATTAAACAGCTTGAGCCAGAGTAAAGAGAGGTTGACGGAATTTAAAGCACGTTTGAAGTCAACAAATATTGCAAACATTTTCCGCTTTTTTAATCTAATATGCTCTGTGAATATTTTAGCGTCAAGGTAGGGATGCAAAGCAAAATTCTAGGAGGATAAATATTATAAAAACGTTCCCACATTTCTATGGTGAGATTAGGGTGAATATTTCTAAATGAACGAAATTGTTTTATTGTCGACCAAAACTCTTTGGGATTTCTGCAACTTGATAATGTAGAGATCATTTTTGCCTCAAATGTACGACTTTTAAATTTGATTATATGTTTATATATATATATATTTTTTTTTTTTTTCATATCAGCGTATTCATTTAGAATATCTTGGGTGAAGTTGTTGTTTCGACAATGTGAAAGAGCTAAATTTAATTGTTTTTTTGCAATATAACAAGCATCATCAAACCAAGGTTTGCTTAGTCCCAATTTTCTACAGTTTTAGAAGGAATGGTCTCAACTAAGTTTAAGTTATCTGCGGACTCATGTATAGCTGCATAAAAATTGTTATAAGATGCATCTATATTTTCAATAATCACGCATGATAAGTTTAAAGGATATTGGGGTCTAATGTAAAGTTTCGAGACTTAATGGAACTCACTAAATATCTTAAAAATCCTCTTAATAAAGTATTTTACCTTAACCTGAACCCACAAATAGATAGAGGGAAAAAATCTTTAGATATTGAAATCATTAGTGACGCTAACAGTAGCGGTGGGGAATAAAAAAAAAGTGTTTTTTTATATAAGGACATGGGTTACTTTTCCAATAGTCATAATTTTTTTCAAATTTTTCGTATGTTTTGTATTTTCAACTAAAATAAATATTAGAATATGCTTCTGGCTTAAACATTATTTTCAAAAAGCATCGTTACAAAAATGCATACTTAAACTGCGTAAGAAGGTAAGCAGTTTTTCTTGATTTCCCAAAAAGTTTATTTTTTGGCGTGTATTGCTTTTCAAATAAACGCTTCAATTATTATATGTATTATAATATCCAAATCATAATTCTACAAAATTTTAACAGCTATTCACAATTTGTTAAAACTATTTACTCGAAATTGTTATTAACATCTATAAAATAATTTTGTATGCCAATGTATCGCGTCCATTTTTACTGAAAGAAAAAATTGCAGCAGTCACATTTTTTAGATGAACTACCCTTTAATTCCTATCTTTAATATTTAGAATAACTATTTTTGTATGTTTTTTGCAATCTTTATGTTCTATGGATTTATAATTTTTTTGTTATCAATGTAACATGCAATCTTACGTTTTCTAAACAATTAAAGTGTAAATTTTAATAAATAGCTCAAAATTGTACATGATTAAAAAAAAAAATTTCGGATCCGAATTTTTTTCGTTTCTTTGCATTTTCTGAGAACATTTACCATAGCAACGTGTATATTTTTTTACACCATCATAAAGTAGAGATTTCAACGAACAAAAAGCCTACAGACTTTTCTAAAAAAGCAAATATTTTGACGTGAGAATTTTCGATTAAAAATTAGGGTGGTTTTTCGATATTAAGTCAAAATAAGGTGAAAAAATAAATATTTTAAATCAAAAAATTACAGTATGTTTGTGACATAAAAAGGTAAGTTTTCAACAAATTTCGTGAAAAAAAAAATTTTGTTGTAAAAGATAAAAATAAAAAACCAAAAACTTATTATTTTTTTTTTTGTTACAAAAATTATCATCCTTGGTCTATAAAAAAATAATTTTCTATACATTAAATCATAACTACCCAAGTGACAGAAATATACTCAAATAACATATTTCTAATTTATATTATTTTAATTTTAGGTCGTTACTAATGAGAGAATGTGATTGAAGCAGTTGTTTTTATTAACTGTGAAAATAGACTGTTCTTTTATACTGAACTAATTTAAGTATTTTGTGTGAGCTTAAAGTATTGTGTATTTAATGGTTTTGTTAAAACTTGTTTTAATAATATTATACGTTAAGATTAAGCCACTTTGTTGATTTGTAAAGTTGCAAAATGTAGTATAAAAAAAACGTTCCGATTTATATGCAGTACTGCCCAGTTCACCAGTGATATTTTAATTTATTTATTTATAATTCTTTACATTGCTGACACTTTATTCCATTTACAGTTGGTTCATTATTTTATTGAGCAATTATTTATAGTAAAAAAGAAGTCATTTGCCTTGAACATAATGACAAAAGGTTTCCAGTAATTGCTCTTTCAAATATCCGAATATGGCACTTTTAACGATCGATTAATTAAATAATCTTTTTGATAATCATTCAAAATGAGCAGTATATCTGTATATAACTTCCATAATATTGTATAATTATTAATTTTATGAATTAATTCAACTTTTTTCTTTGTATATTTTTACTTATTGAATCTGTTAAAGCTTTTATAATGGTTAAAATTTGAACACTACCACGTTACCTTTTCTAAAATTTTATTCAAATACTTTTTGGTCAGACTGATTTAAATAAAGCAAAATGAGTAAAAAAATTATCAATTAATAGCAACGACAATTTTGCAAAACAACGATGTTGTCAAACCTGAAATTGTACATCATACAGTTTGTAATTTGTTGAAAATATTATCAAATTACATATAGTTATACAGAGTGAGTTTTAAGTATGGAACAGCTTGCACGATTTTTGAATACTCTGATTTGTAAAGGTTTTGTAATACGGCTGATATTATAGTTATATTTACATTGTCAGATTTTTAGGTTTTCTGGAAATATAATGGAACTCCAACAATAATAATTGTTAATTTATATGTAGCTGTAACTCCGAAATTATTGCATTTAGGTCAGAGATATAAGAAGTCATTCATAAAATATAATATTCATGGTGCCAAGAACAGTTCGCACTCAAAACATTCTATTTCTAGACGCGGGGCGAGGCGACGAAAGGTGAGAAGTAAAAGAAGGGATACAGTGAAGAATTTTACATAGTTTTATCAATGAATAACTGCCCGAGCTTTTACTACTTAACGTAACTTTTCTTGCCGGTGTAAGCCCTGTTGCCACTTCCAATCTAACATCACTAGGTTTTGGAATTTGTTGAAAATTATTACATCTAATTTAATGAAATTACATCTAATTTGGTTAAAAATGCCTATTTTTTGTTCTAATGCTCTTTGTAGGAAGTATTTTTTTATAATTATTTAAAAAAAATCATTTACATTTGCCCTTATGATCGAAAAAAAATTTAAATATCTCAGTTTCAACCGTCTACAAATTTGTATAAAAAATCTTCTTTTAGAAATATACCTCTCATTTGACGAAAAACGAAGGCCTAAATGAAACAAAACTATTCTTTATAAAAGTTTCGCCTATGTATTGACAAGGTAAAAGTACTTTCCTCATATTTGTTGCTTTTAAATTAACAAAAATATAGCAATAAACCATTAGTGATGTCATGGTTTTACTAGAAAGCAAACATTAAAGGCAGAGCCTATCGACTCTTTATGCATCTATCTCAGTATTGAAATGTATGCAATCAGTTTGACCCCTCTTATATTATTTTATACAGGGATTATTGATTTATCCACCATGTTTAATAGGGTGTACTAATTACTTCAAGATTTCTTTTTTATTTTTAATGTAAAATGAAAATAAGAAAATATAAACTATTTATTAAAGGTATTTATTGAAGTATCAATTATAAATAGTAAGGCTATTGCTTTGCAAAATACAATAAATCCCCAATATAAATAAATTATAATAATAATAATAATTGGAAGGAAGTATATAAAGCATAAATTAATAATATTAAAATTTATAATTACAAGACTTTCAAACTAATCAGAATCAGATTCACCACACGAATCAACATTTTCCAAAACATTAGCGGCTGTGGTCAAACTATTTCTGCAGTTTTTTTGTGCCATACAGGTGCAGGAACCGATAAAGTAAATATTTTTTCCTGCATTTGCAAATTTTGCTTCCACAGTCTAGAACAGAATATTATTGTTAGAATATTGTATAGTATGTTTTTTGCATTTGCATGATGTAAGTTCTGTTATGTCTGGTGGCAGGTCGGGCAGAGTCTTAAAAGTGGGTATCAGACTTCCATCTTGATCTACTTTCCATCCATACTCTTCAACATTAGGAAGTTGCATCTGGGTTTAAACAGGTTAGCCAAATATTTAGCTGGTAAAAACGTCTTAAACAATGTAGTCTTAGGGCTTCTTCAGTCGGTGGTAATTTAGCGATGGTTTTTGAAGAGGTCAATAATCCCCTCAAAATGTTAATGAAAGTAACATTGGCAGTTTTGAATACATTTTTAGGAAAATTCTTTCAAGATTAGAGAATATGTTTTCAGAGTACTGATCAGTGCCAAATCCATCCAAAAAGTAATGGTTTTCAAGGTAGGTTTTCCAACAGGTTTTGTTCCCAATGCCGGACAATTAAATGGTTGTATCACAACCGGTCAGAATGAAAAGCAGGCATATTTTTTAGAAGGTTTTCATCCAAATTTAAATAATGTACTGCTATAAATCGTCTTGAGTCTCCTCGCCCTGTTCTGAACCATATATCTTTAGTCAAAAACTTCTTAAAATAAATTAATAAGACATCTGTATCGTTGCAATAAATAATGCAGCGTGAATGTACCGAATTTTTGGCTGACAATATGTGCAATGGGATACGATTTTAGCGTCTTCGTGATTTGAATTTAAAAAAATCGTCTTTTGATGGTTCAAAATTCTTTCCATATTTATTATTGATTTTCGCGAATCCACCACTAGTTAGAAATTGAATATGCTTTTGCTGAATGGAGTTTTGAAGAAGTTGCTCTGGCAGAAAATGTGTTAAACGTCTTTTGTTAAATATCGAATGAATAAACAAGTTCTATTGTTGCGGAAGTGGAATATTGGGTCGGTCAATTTCTATATCAATTTATTTCTGAAATCCTCTCTTTTGACGTGTTGTATTTTTGATAGAATGTCCTTTATAATGATCAAATACCACATCTGTCATTTGAGTATTAAATTTATTTCTAAAAATAATGTTTACAAATATATGAGCATATTCTTTAAATGATATGCAACTTTTGGGCTTTCCTATTTTGATATAAATTTTGTCTCTGCTACTTGCAGCAACAAATCCGTAATTAAAATTTTAAACGAAAACTTATAACTTACCCAAATATATTTAGCTGCAACAGGATGAATGTAGATATAATAAAGATGCAAAAATGTCTATATTTTTTCCCAATTTATTAGGTAATTTAATATATAACACATTCACTTATTAATTCTTTAGTAAAAACAGATAACAATATGACACATTGCCCTATGGAACATAACAAGAAGTTTTATAATAAAAAAAAATGAAAAATCCTACCATATCAATAATGTGATACATCAGCCCGCACGTAGAGAGAAACAGAGCTATGCTACGTTTGAAGGTGAAGAGAAAGATACACTGAGAGTCGATAAATTTGACGGTAAGAATTAATTACAGCATAAACCTATGACATCTATCATCGTTTATTGTTACATCTTTGTTAATTCAAAAGCAAAAAATATAGTCTTTACTCTGTTACCTTCTCAACACATAAGCAAAAAATTATAAGGAATGTTTTTTTTTCATTTAGGCCTTCGTTTTTTGTTAAATTACTTAAAGACGACTAAATTTTTGAAGGGCTAAAACCAAGATATTTACGTTTATATTTTTTTTCGGCCGTAAGTGCTAATGCAAATGATTTTTTTTAAATAAGTATAAAACAATTACTCCCTACAAAGATTTTATTGTGCATTTGACCAAAAAATTAGTATTTTTTTCTCCATTCGGTGGTATCAATATCTGGATTTTTGATTATAGTGCCCTTCTGCACAGTCTAATTTTGTATTAACTCCGGAAAAAGGGCTACTTTATCATGACCTTTCATCTGTGAAAAATTCAGCTATGTGACAAAATAGTGGGAGGTGAATCGTTTTTCTTTGAGCGAATATTTTAATACATACACATTACTAACAATGACAACAGCGGATATTATACCCACAATATATTGTGATTATACCCTACTGTGTCCCTTAGAATATGTCTTATTCACGGCCGCACGATATTTGTTAATAGTTACATCTCCTGGTTATCTCTGATTTAGGTATAGGGAACATTACATGAAAAATAACCCCGTATTTTTTAATGATTTTAAAAAGCAAAAATTATAGAGGGTGATCCATTTAAAATAACAAAGTTCATTGTATTTCCATAAAACTAAAAGATCTGACAAAAATGTAAATACAACCTTTGCATACCAAAGATATATAAAAATCGTGCGAGTCGTTTCCGAGATAATTTGAGTGTTCCATACTTAAAACTCACTCTGTATATGATTGAAATATATTTCGTTCCTTTTGGTTACCCAGTGAATTGAAGTCGATTCCGATTTTTAAATTTTTTGTTATTTAGTTCTTTTTCTTTTGTAAATATTGTAAATTATAACTATTATATTTATATTTTTAATCTTCTGTACCTAGATACTACATACTGGATGTTGGCGTTATTTTCTTATCAATTCTCTGTATATAGAATTTCAAAATTGATGAAACTAGTTTTCGTTTTTGCTTGTACTTTATAACAAACGAACAATTTAATAAGCTGAATGAAACTACCTCATTTATTCTAATTTCTTATCTAAAATTACATTTATTTTATGAATAGAATATCTACAGAGTGAAAAATGTTTTTTTTTTTCTATTCAGAAGAAGCAATTTATAATTTAAATGTAAAATATAAAAAATGACAATGTGAAAAAATTATATCAGTAAAATACCTTATCAAGTATTTCTTTTCTGTTTCCTAACAAAAATTAATTCAAAATAACATCAAATTAGTGATCGTTTTGTAAATTATTTCCTATTAATTTTCCATATAGTAGGAGATAGGGTATTAGAAATATAAACCCTCATCTTTGATGATAACAAAGGTTATATGTTAGATAATATGTACATTGATAAATCGCAAATGGGTTGCCTAGTTAAATCACGGGCCAATACTGTTAAGAGCGTTCTATCGTTGCAAATAAAATCGTAGTTGCATCGCCCCTCCACTTTCAGACCAAATCGGAGGGTTGGTCCGTATCCGAACTGCTGACACTATTTACGTCATGAATAATGTCTCATCATTCTGTAATAAACATAACATTAAAAATTTTATATATTTAATGGACAAATACACCGCATACCTTTTCTACCGCCATTCCCAATGGTGTCCATACCACAAAATAACAAATTCTCCGCTTTGTTATATTTAACAGACCCTGGACTTGGTAAAAGTAATTATGTGTTTTTTTTTTAATTTTATCACATTACTTTCATCAACCGTACAAAATTTTATAACTTTTTTTTTTTTGATGGCTTCTAGAGGATGAAGTTTTCGGGCATTTAATTTCTATAAATTCATCTTCACCAATGAATCCATCTGAACTAGCTCCTAAAGTTGGCGTATTTTCATGTACAAACAAGCCGCATGCCTTCACCTAAAATTTTTTAAATTTTAATTACGAGGTAACAATTAAAAAATGTACAATGAACTGATGAACTAAAGATGTTATCAGAAAATGCTTGAAACCATTTCTAGGATACGAAGGGAGAACTTACCTTTACATTAAATTCTGATTCAAATTGTGTAATTGCAAGCGTCTCATGATCTAAACCGTATTTGGTATTACTATTACCTACAAATGTAGAGTAAAGTAGGTTTTTACTTTATTTGTACACGGTACGGTGTCTTTGTTTTCATTTTGCATATTTCCCCAAAATGTGATGCTGTCAGCCTATTGATTCTTTCCTGTAGCCATAATTGATTTGTTGACTGCCTCTTGTTTTCATTTCCAATTCTTTTAAATCTTCTTTTGATTTATTTAAAGAAGCTAGAAATTCAATTTTTTGTATTCATAAACGTCCCAAAAACTAATCAGTTTACCGTAGGCCAGAATAAAGCTTAAGTTTAAAATTTGGTGTTTTTCTTTGTATCGGTTCATGAGTTATGGGGAATAAAGACACACACACATACACACAGAGACATCATCCCGAAAATAGTCAAAACGGATTCAGGGGACCCCAAAACGTAAAAATCTGTCGAAAACTGGAGGTCGAAAAAATCATGATTCCTATACTTTCCTTATCTGCAGATAGGAAAGTAAAAAAATCATGATATACAGATAGGAAAGTAATAAGTAAGAAATTCTATAAAAGGTACATAATATATATTTTGTGTAACTACCTGGGGAAATAATCTTATCTCCGATTTATTATGCGGTCTACCTGTTTGTCAATAAAGATAATAGATATTTAAATGATCACAAGTATTGTTAATTTCTTTTTAATTAATTCCTATAATAATAAAGTACCCCTTTTCCACAAATCTAAATTAAATTAAGGGTACTTATAGAAATTATCTCCGGTTTATTATGCGGTCTACCTGTTTGTCAATAAATATAGATATTTAAATGATCACCAGTATTAATTAATTCTTATAATAATAAAATATCCCTTGTCGACAAATCGAAATTAAATGAAGGGTACTTATAGAAATATAATAGGAATTATTTTCGAACTGTATATC